TCCTGACACTGAAGAGCTGTCATCCAGAGAGTCTGCTGCTTCCACGGCAGCACTTGAGCTGGAACTACTGGAGGAAGCCTTGGTGGTGCATGTGAGGAACATATCCCCTGGGAACCGTAAGATCTGGAACATACTCCCCCTTCCCCCCTCCAAACAAAGATAAGATGATAGGCGAGGAAAACAAGTCAAGAAAACGTATCAAAAAAAAATGTCACAATCAAGCGAGCAACGGCCTGAGGCTCTGCTGCCCCTTCCATGTTGTCTGCCATCAAGACATTGCCGCATCACATTCACAAGCAGGTGCAGAAAACAGGCACACTTCGCAAACCATAAGCCATCAAGACAAAACGCATGATATGTATCAGCCGCTTTCGACTGCTGACACAGAGGGCACACTAGGTGCAAAGACTTAAAAGTCAACAACGCAAAGAAACCATATCTCTGCGAGTGACTTGCAAGATTCAACCCCGGGTTTCAATTCCAGTGCTGCTGCCTTTTGGTGAGCAATATATTTGTCCTCTGCTTGTGCTTTGCGTCTTCCTGTTACATCATCTCTTGGGCCAGAAGTCTGCATTTCAAAGCCACAGCGCATTCGACGGACAACTTTGAGCATCTTTGTTGGGTGGGGGCACGGGGGAGGAGAATGTAGATGGAGGAGGCATGCTGGAGAATGCAGCACTCTGAACCGTGGCGACACAAATTGGTGGCACATGTAGCTTGCGCATTGAGTGGCTTCTGCGAAATCATCCTGGCCTCAACCAGCAGGTCCGATGCGCAGGCTATGCCAATAGTCCAGGTACCTTCGCCGAACGAGGAAAGCAAGTATGACCAAACTCCGTATATGACTCTTCTCTGCTTGTGGGGAAAGCCTGGAGATTTGCTATCCTTTGGTGATGATTGCATTGGATGTGTGGCTTCACTGCACCCATGCAGCGCTCTGATGAACTGTTTCCCGCAAATGTTGCCCTGCGCTTTCTTTTACAACGCTCCAGCTGTGGTATGATACCTGCACCTGCAACTGCAAATCACAATTGCACCATCCATTCTCAAGCTCAGAAACAAGCTGAATTCAGTGTGTTGGAAGAAGTCCGGATGAGCTCTCACAGCGACATGCTCCATTCCTTTCATTCACTGGCCAGCGTCCGCAGCAAACCATCGACATTGTCCAACGCCTTTGCCTTGGCTATCTTCAACTAGGATAAAGATCGTCAAATCGGACCTGCAGGTGCAGTTGTGCTCGAGCTGAACCGGAATTGGCTGAAGTAATGGAGCGCTGCGAAAGAATATGCATAGCAGCGAAAAGATCGCAATAAGCAAGTGGTAATATTGAACGGCAAAGAATCATCTCAAGAATCTTTTCGCATCTGGGCTATCCGATATCCATCAACGAAGGACATTTTGTCAAGAAATGCTGATCGGTTCAATGTTCATTTTCGTTGTTGTTCAAAGAGGGAATGATTTTTGGGAAAACGGCATGAACCAAGGAAAGTTGGAAAGGAGTCCTGTTGTCATCGTCACTGCTTGCATGAAAGCACGAAAGTACAAAACGCTCATCCGGACGGCTTCAACAATGGGGAGACAAAAGAGCATCCAAATCCAGCCAGTTACCACATAACAATACGTGATTGGATACAAAGCCGTTTGCAGTAATCAAAGATCAAGAAATTGGCCAGGATCAAGAATGTCAGCATGCTTTTGCACATCTTCCATTGTGTGAGCTGGGCATGACGTATACCCCACAACTGAGAGCCTAGATGATCTAGATGCTTCTAGAACAGGTATCCACCATCATGTCGTGTACACCAACTCTTCACATTCCAGCATGCTTTCACACATGAACTGATTTCCATGCAATCGTTCTTTGGGAGTTATAGATCGTTCAGCGCTCTTTGCGTTGTTCGTTTGCGCAGGGGCTATGCTTGACTCGCTAATTTTTTCACATCCCACGGATGTCACAGAAAACATGTAATGGATTAGAACGTCTGAAATCCTGTTGAATGAGTATGTGTAAAACATGGCATCAGTCGTTTCACGTTCTTTGTCTCAGCCATGTGTCCATCCTCAAAAGATGAAGCTCGAACAAGTTGAACAAACTCCTGTAAATGGCGAAACAGCTGGTTGCTGGACTGCCGATTGAAGAACTTGCAGCTGCCAAGCGGGCACAAAAGGCATCTTCAGCTCTCAAAAGATGAAGCTCGAACAAACTCCTGCACATGGCGAAACAGCTGGTTGCTGGACTGACGAGGATCCTCAAGGATCTCTATATATTTCTTCTTATGTTTACCCAAATTTGCTCCCAGCGCCCGAAAACAAGCACTCTGCATATCATAGGAATGTATACAATATATAATATATAGGAATGATATTATTGTCATGAAAGGACTGGGTGACATACACACAAGGTGTAGTAATGCAGCATGTCAACAAAAACTTAGATGGACCAAAGTAATGCCATGGATGTCTTGTTCTTTGTACGTAACCACAAATGCGCCTCTGTCTCAGTGCAGCTGCTGGCCAAAAATACAGTAGTGTCCTTGGGACACCCCCACAGCAAACTTGAATGTCTCAAATCACTCCAATCATTGAATTACAGGTGCACAGTACGATCGATTTTTGTCATGGTCACCATCTTTTAGCACGCAAATTAGACAAAGACAAATCACCGACCAAATCTCTTCCAAATCATCTTGAGCAACTGACCTTTGAGCAGCTCGGGCAAGCCGGCACAAAAGGCATCTTCATCTCTCAAAAGATGAAGCTCGAACAAAGTTGAACAAACTCCTGCAAATGGCGAAACAGCTGGTTGCTGGACTGACGAGGATCATCAAGGATCTCTATATGGTTGTTGATCAAAATTCCTTTCTCCCGGAACGGCCATTCTTCGCGAATAAAAATTTTACTTTCGCGAAACTTTCGCGAATTCCATGTTTATCTTTCGCGGGGCCCATGTTGGCCAACAACACCTCTTATGAAGATTCGTTCACCACCTGCCAAATTACGCCAGAGAATCACGGATCACTTCTTGGAGCCTTTTAAACATGCAGCTAGCATCACGGAATCCCTTCTCAGGACAGACTTTCTTTTGCAAAGTTTACTGGCCCACCCCCTTCCACATGCACTTTGACTTTCGCCCGCTCTTTCGCATAACTTTCGCGGACCTTTCGCGAAAATATCCCTATTCACAGACCCCGGCCATCAGCAGGGGGTGCACTGAAGGAAAAGCGAAGACCAGGGGCCTTGGTGCTTGGCTCTCGCAAAGCCTCACTTTTGGAAACTTGGCTACTGCTACTCGCATTCTCTGGTGCCCTTCTCCTGCCGGACCCCGGGCGGCAGTGGGTGGCAGCCCTTTACATATTTATTATAATACCCAACTTTCGCGAAACTTTCGCGAAATAAAATTTTACTTTCGCGAACTCGAACTTTCGCGAGGGTTTCCAACATAACATGCACGGCTTTCGCAATTAAAACTCCTTACAAGGACCTTTAGATCGGTCACCATATATTTCTTCTTAAGTTTACCCTCATTTGCTCCCAGCGCCCGAAAACAAGCACTCTGCATATCATAGGAATGTATACAGTATATAGGAATGATATTATTGTCATGAAACGACTGGGTTACATACACACAAGGTGTAGTAATGCAGCATGTCAACAAAAACTTAGATGGACCAAAGTAATGCCATGGATGTCTTGTTCTTTGTACGTAACCACAAATGCGCCTCTGTCTCAGTGCAGCTGCTGGCCAAAAATACAGTAGTGTCCTTGGGACACCCCCACAGCAAACTTGAATGTCCCAAATCACTCCAATCATTGAATTACAGGTGCACAGTACGATCGATTTTTGTCATGGTCACCATCTTTTAGCACGCAAATTAGACAAAGACAAATCACCGACCAAATCTCTTCCAAATCATCTTGAGCAACTGACCTTTGAGAAGCTCGGGCATGTCAGCACGAACCTTAAACCAGCAACAACATCGAACCATATCCAGCTGTGAAGTGGATGTTTCAAACTTGCCGTAAACAGATATTTTCCAAGGAACTCTGCAATGCTTGGAAGCGTGGCTTTCGGTTGAACCACATTGATTCCAGAGACGTAGATCTTTAAACCAACATCTCCTGGAGAGTACCTTACATCATGAGACCATGCTAGCCGCTAGCCGTCCATGCCTCAACTTATGAATCCAACACTGGAACAGAATCTGAAACATCTGAAACATGCAAATGACATGTTGCCTAATATTTCCTGCCGGCCGCATCGCTGAACAGTCGGCTGGAATTCAATACCATGAAGCCGTTGTCAAATAAGAGATTCGGTAATTTGGTGGTGGTATGGCAACCCCTTGCCGCTTAGTAGCAAGTGAGTACCGCTGGCCAAGCAAGACGCTCCGTCCATGCAGTTCATGGCCACATCCTACTAGAAATGCAAGGTCTGCCCGTTCACTGCAGCATTAGGACAACCCGGTGACAACCCAGTCAAAACACCATGAAAACCTAGTCAAAAATGAACATCAAAGCGAAGCTGTCGAAAAATGATCCAATGTCTAGCTCCAGGACTTTCTCATTTCAGCTACAATTTTCAAGTATTTAAATAATCCGATCATTTTTGACGTACGTTGGTTTGAATGCCACAATGTGCCACAGTTGCTCTGTTGCAAGCATTTCAGCCGCGGTGTCTTGAACAGAAAGCATTTCAGGATCCCTGCGTGCATTCTGTCAAAGCATCCTAACAAAAATCACTACAAAATGCATTTCCGATTTTCAAGTGCTTTTTTCGAAAAAAATGACAAGCCGCTACAAGATGCAGCGCATGCCCTCTTACTACAAAAACCAGTGCAGGAATCCGTTTTTGTTGCATGAATTCTCCCCGTAACAGGGGATGGTATCCAGCACGTGTTCACCCTTTTAGTTGTGGAAATGGTACGGGGGCTCTTTCAGGCACAATCGCAAGGCAGCAAGTGACAACATGTTACCCGCTTGGCTCATGCATGTTGTGGCACGGCTTGGAACCGGTTGCAGCACACTTGCAAAATGTTTTGCCACATCCAGCTTACTTCTTCCCTTCGGGAAAATGTTGCGGCCCTCCGACTCAGTCAGCGGCGGCAGTGAGATGCCTGGTACACTTGGCCAACCAAAAGCCGTTGCGATTAGCTCACATCCTTTTGCGGATTTGAAGGCGGTTAGCTCCATGTCACAGCTGGTAGCAGTCATCCACCAGCAGCACCACCTGCAGCAGGTTCTGCTGGCCCACCTGCGCTGGCAAACGCAGCAAGATTCAGTAAAACTGTTTTGCTGCCACAGCGATTCAAACCCAAACCCTTTGAAAAAAAGGATTTCAAAGCATATGCACTTGCAAAAATTACAACACAAAGGTTGCCCGGACTGTGGCTATGCTCATACCACCACCGGACCACTAGTGGGGAACAAAACACACGGCCGGGCACCCTGGTTCTCCAACAGCTTCTCTATGTCTTCGCGTGAAAGGTTCTTAGCTGCCTGCGCTCAACAGCCCCCACATTCTGAAAGCGCACTGCTTCACAACCAGGCGACATGCAAGAACTGCATGCCCGAATGCAAGAATTGCAGGCCTTGACAAGGTTTGCACGACGCTTGCGGAGTTTCCTGTCCTCTTTGGAGGCCGCGCGCAGCTCCGCTTTCAGTTCCGTGCGGCGCCTCTTGACTTCACTGAGTTCCTCATGAAGTAACGCCTGCAATGACGATTGCAAATGGGAAACCAAAGATTTTAAAGGAGGGAAAAACCCATGGACAACAAAATGGGAAGCGAATCCATAGGTGTAGGAAACCAGGGGTGAAACATTAGCAAGAATGGAAGTTGATTTATGGGCAAGACTGAGTGTCTGTTTTTGGGCCTACAAAACCCACGCAAAACCGGAGACACAAATGGAGGTCCCCCCAGTAACTGTCCCTTGCTTTGTTTGCTTCGCTGTTTTTCCTTTGGCGAAACCTAAATCGTCGCTGGTCTGGTGTATTTTTTCTGGTTTCCTTTTTCCGTTTGCAGCAACAGCCACCAAGAGCGTGTCCAGTGACGAGACTCCAGTGGAAGGAGCAAAGCAGCTGCTCCAAGCAGTAAAATTTGCTGCCAAAACGATGCCTGGTTTTCGTCTTGGATTGGATGAAGACTTTCAAATGGCTGGATGTTTCCAGGAACTCATCCATGGATACACCTCAGGGCTCGTTGAACCATACATAATGCGAGGTCTCCAACCACTGGGACCGACTCGCACTACTCTGGAAGTGATCATACCTTCTTAAGAAGGGCTTACACCTGAAAAATGGAAAGAAACAGCCACACTGTGCCCACTTGATTGACCTTCCAACTACAGTCTTTTGCGATTGTGGCATACCAATGGGAGCCTGCATCAAACGGTAGCGCGACTCAGGAATCAACTGTCGCACAGCCATATGTTTGCTGAATGGACAGTGCATCTCAACAGATTTGCAGAGCGTGTTTTATTCCAGCAACCTGCAGTTTATGTAGCGGGACATGCCTTGCAAGCCAACCTGCGGGAGCGAAACTTCCCAGACAGGAAAGTCCGCAGGAGGGTTCCTCCGGAAGATTTGGATGAACATCAACGGGCGACTCGAGCGCTACGTCAGCGAGCTATTGCTCAGCAAGCAGTGAACCCAGTATCGTTTGCACTCATCAATGAATGGAACGACACTATCACATCGGATAAGAAGCATCATTTGGAACATTTCATGAGAGGTACGACATGATTCCCCCAACCCTTCTTCGCATCACTTTTCCCCTATTTGTGTCCACCATTTCTCTCCCTTCCTCCCATGTATCATTTCTGTTTCACTCCGCTTTGTCCCTCATACAGTATTTGGCTTTTGTTTCATCAACAACGGAAGTGGGAGTTAACTTCAATTTCTATTTGGTCTTTCGTCACTTCTACTTAAGGTTACTGTCCATACTGGTGTGTCTGTCCAAAGACGTGACAGGTGCACTGGTATGCAGTAGGGGACACAGCTCTTCCTCATTTATAATTGTCAGGTTCCTCATGACACATGCCTGGAAGGTTACTGTCCATACTGGTGTGTCTGTCCAAAGACGTGACAGGTGCACTGGTAAGCAGTAGGGGATACAGCTTTTCCTCATTTATAAATCAAGTTCTTCCTGCCACATGCCTGGCCCCTACCGATTCAGACCTTCAGCAGCTGGTAGCCACACTCCTTTGTTGTTGTGTGTGAGTGATAGCTTAGTCATAACAAGCCGAGTAGCATGCTGTCCCCTGGCACTAGTGCTTAGAATGTGTTGACCAGTCGAGAGCTTAGATTATACTAAGGCCTCCTCACCCCATGAAGCCTATTGCATGAGCGCACGCTCTCGTAGCCGTTGCCTGACAATCATAGATGGGGGATGAAACTGTTTTCGTTATCCCCAAGACGTAATACTGACGAGACTACCCTTCTCCCACTCTTCCCACTAGGTAAGATACGTAAAAGTTGTCTAACCCCTGGTTTTTGCCCTTAGCAGAGTTACAGTAGGCGTAGTGCCTCGTTTTCTGACACTGTTTTTGATGTTTTGGTCCCTGCCTGCCGTGGCCCTCCCTCCCCCTTGGATGGTCCTCGTTGGCGCCTTGGTCCAGGTTCTACTGGTCCCTCCCTCTGGGTATCGTTGCTTTCGGCGACGGCCTGGTTGCCGTGCCTCTGTGCATGGAGTGTTTGTTGCGCACTGCCTCCCCTCCTCATTATGTCTCATGGCAACAAAGGCCTTGGCCCTGTGTGGGGATCTTTCCCTCTACACCATGTTTCCTGTGTTGTTGGGGTGCTGTGTGCTCCCTCACTGAGGTATTCATCATTGTATGATCCTTGGCCCCTCCTTGGACTCCGCTAAGGCACGTTCGTACCCCTTCTAGTGCGTGTGTGTCCTCTCTCTCTCTGTCCTCTGCTGCCTCCTGGCTCCTCTCCTCGTTTCTTCTGATTGGCTTGTAGCGTTGCATGGGTTGTACTTTGGCCGCTCCCCCTTCTTTGCTTCCCCCATGATGGCAGGTTTCTTGTTGGTTGGGCGTGTGTTGTTTTGCTCCTCTGTTGCCTGGATACCGAGGTTACAGCTCTGCACAGTAGCTCTGTCTTTTCACCATGGCTACCTTGATCTCAGCCGGTAGTGACTAAGGATTCATCTGAGGTGGGACAGCCTTTGTTCACCGTCCCCCCCCCTTTTTGTTTGGTTTCCCCTTTGAATTCGTTTTGTTTAGTTTGAGTTTAATTTGTCAAGTGGCTTCCTCTTTGGCTGTATTGGGAAGGGCCCTTCTCTCTCTGTTTTGTTCCTGTGTGTTTTCGAGAGGGGCGGTAGATTCCCGGTAGAGCCATGGACTAGGCTGCACTGCAGTGAGCTCTACTGGCGCTGTCCAGTTGTGCTTCCTGCAGTTCAGTCTGGAGCGCCCGAGTGCAGCAAAGCCTGCCCACATGGTTCGTTGTGCGGATTTTCTGTATTGCTCTGGCATATGGCCCACTCGGTGGGAGAGTGGCTTGGTCTGGAATATACAGCTGACTTACCGTGCATCCGGTCCTCTCCGCAGAACTTGCTGGGACGATGACGCCTAGTGACTCCTGTCTGAGTATCTGGTGCTGGCGCACCGAACCACCTCATCTTTTATCGTTTCGGGGAACAAGTCTGACAGCAATGCGAATGCGACTTTTGTATACCTAGCTGCAGTATCATACTGGAAGTGCTCACGAGCCCATGCTATGGTCGAAAGCATCATTTGTCTGTCATGGCCGTATTGTGCCGGTCAGGCCTTTAGCCACCTTTTCACCCACGGCCTTAGGGTCTTGGGCCCAAGTCACATGACGGTTCCTGCGAGTGCTCACACCATTTTGCAGGCTGTCAGTGCTCTCCTCCCCATTCAGGGGGGGAAATAGACTACAGTCCCTTGCGGTGGTGTATACTGACAGGAACAGACTGCCTGGCATACGCTGAACGATACAGGGTGAACAGCAGCGATGCGGAAGATGCTATGTTGACAAGACGCCCATACAGGCGGCCTCTGTCGAACTACACATCAGTCTGCCTGCAATATTGGGCTCTCTTCTCTGTTCTCAGGTAAGACAGTTTGGGCAATCAGGGACTGTACTTCATGCACCGCCGCAATTAATTAGTCTGCATGTTTTTGAGGATGATACAGTGGCTAAGGTCGCTGTATCCAAAGCAAATCTGAGAGTGTTTTGTTTTGGTTCTTGTTGGGCCCTGCTCCTTTCTTTGTTGCTTCGCTGTTTTGCTTTGTGGCGAAACGCAAATCTGGCTGGGGGATTTGCGGGTCGTTTTTGGTTGTGGTTTTTGTTTGTTTGGTTTGTTTTTTGTGATGATTTGCCTGAGATTTTGGACCACACGAGTCCTGTACACTACTGCTTTTCACTGCTTACGCAATTGTAAGGACCGTGCCTAGTGCGAATCGGCCAAACCGGAAGAAAAAAAAACCCAAGAGCGTGTCCAGTTGCCAGCTATAATTGTGGTGAAGCACAGAGAACACAGTGGCTGGCGCTACCTTTCGAAATAATTCTTTTACAAGCCAAATCGCCACGGCACACCAGGCACCTATCAACACATCTGCACAGTTTTTCATGAAAAACCGCATCATACCATCAACTTGACCTCTAGAAGACCAGGAATTCGACATGTCATTCTCATTGGCGGACTCTCATTCCTACCTAGGAAAAATATAGCGTCCTCGTGGCTCAGTTGGAATCGCGGCATTCTTGTGTTGCTGACAGACTGCCGTAGTTGTTCGATTCCCCGGAAGTCCAGACCGTAGACCCGCCGAAAGGCAACGATCGGACAAACACACAATCCTACCGTGGGAAAAATATGGTTGCAAAGCGCTTTTCCCAGTAGTTTACCAGGAACATTCCGGACCTGAACAACACAGCACAATGGTACTGAGATATTCAAGGTGCCGCTTGACAGCATGATTTTGACGAAGTCCGTACGAGGTCTTTGCGAGATCGGTATAAAATCGGAATTTTGCAAAGCAAGGCAGCAAGGCAAGGCAAAAGACATCTTTTCTGCTCTTTCCTTTTCTTTTCTACGCATCTCTAATCACTTGTGCTCTACTCTTCTACAGCTCTTTCTGTGGGAGTCAAATTTTTGAAAAACCATCACCGTGAATTTTTATTTCAAAAAAGATATTTTTAAAAAACATATATGTGCCTAGAAAAAATTGAAA